TCTACAGAGATACCGGGAACCTTTACAGAGATACCAGGAACCTTTACAGAGATACCAGGAACCTTTACAGAGATACCAGGAACCTTTACAGAGATACCAGGAACCTTTACTGCAGAGATACCAGGAACCTCTGCAGAGATACCGGGAACCTCTACAGAGATACCAGGAACCTTTACAGAGATACCAGGAACCTTTACAGAGATACCAGGAACCTTTACAGAGATACCAGGAACCTTTACAGAGATACCAGAACCTACCTGTACAAGGATACCAGCAACTTCTACAGATGTTATAGCATAGCAGCAAGCTGTGAAGGCAACAGGTTCTCGAGCAGAACTTTCTCCTGCCGTGTGATGAATGGCGCGTTTGATGAAGCACCAGCACGATTGTGTAGTCTGCACCTCCAGGTGTTATTTCTAAATAAAATAAAAATAAAAGACATGCTGTATATGACTATCGTAACGGACGGGCATTAGTCGTGAACTTCGGTATGTATGTCACTATAATCCGGCTCGGAAGTATTTGGCTATTGATGTTCCATTGGCGTGCAAGCGTTTACCAAGAAATGCGTTGAGTTCGCAGGAGGAGTTGATAATTTGATCAATAAATGCAATTGGTCGATTAAGAATTAACTGTCTGGTGTTCGATCGTACAATTAGTAGATTAATCAATTTCAAACTATTCATTTATATTCATGTACATAGCTCCGAAACATGTCTACCTGATTAATCATGAAGAACGCAATAGCTGAGGAAATAAATGCTGTTTATTGCGTGTTTACTTTCAAGTTAAAGGCGAGTTGCAGTGGTTAAAAAAACAGGGCAGAGCTCACATTGATCTGCCAAGAATGACGAGAGGTAAACTAGACACAAAACAGAGCACGAAACATATTGAAAACTGATTACTGATTAGCAAATTCTAGAGCAGTGACGGATCTACATCATAAGTTAGGAGTTGGGCCAATTGGTGACGCACACGTCAATCTTCATCGCGTAGAGCTTCTGATCGATCGAACATTAGCTGCTTGTCTGCGGTTATTTGTCTTGACTGCGGTGGCACGCGGTGGCACGCGTGCATTTCGTACCTGCATGTGCAGACAACCAGTCGAAAGATCGTCTTGACTGCCTGCATGTGGTCGCCCGCGGGCATTTCGTACCTGCATGTGCAGACGACCAGTCGACAGATCGTCTTGACTGCCTGCATGGGTCGCCCGCGTGCATTTCGTACCTGCATGTGGAGGCGGCTGAGTTAGAATATGAGAGACGCTCAGGCGACGTCAGAACGTTGACCTCGCAGCTTGCTGTTGCTCAGCTAACAATATGACTGATTGCGGCTACCGATAACGAGCTTAGCTACCTTATTCAACTTGTACAAGCAGATTCCCTTCACGCAAGAACAATTCTAGCACATTTTTCATTTCATTTTTTTAAGTATTCCGTTTTCCTCTTTATATAACAACTATATTTATTTTCTTAAGATATAAGAAAAAAAGATTCAATTTTAATCGATATGTCACTCTACACATCAAGCTCTTCTAAGCAGTTCTGGAAATACGAAGTTCGACACCTCGTGTTGATCGATATTACTTCGAATTCAACAGTGAAAATTTTCCATGTACCTTTTGGTTGACAAATTACCTTGTTAATTTTTTAAATTCTAGAAATACATTATATTTTATTTCATTGTTTATGTTTATTTTTAATTTTGGCCAAATTGACAGTAGCAAAATATTTCCTACGCCCTTACAACTACACCTACGGATAAGAAGTAGAGAAACTAATTCTAAGACAATCCACAACGATGTCTGAGGTCTCACTATCAAGATCTCATTTGGTGTTCAATTACATCAATAAAATCAAAATAAACCAAGACCTTTAGGAAGAAATTAAAATTAAAGTTAAATTCACTGCATAAAATATAGGACTTGGACCATTCCATGGAGCTGTGGGCCTCCATTAACTGCAGGTGTGCCTCGCGTTTTTACGATCTAAGGCGCGATCTTTAACAGCTGGCGAAGTGCATCTAGGATACCAAAGTGCATCCATTTTTTTATTTTGTCTTGGACTGAAGCGAAGTTCTTTTCAGTCCACGTCAAAAGAAGTCACTGATAAGTCAGTCAACTAAAGTAATGCTATTCTCCCCACCGATAGGCACCCTGATAAGTTACGAGCATCTTAGCCACTAGTGGGCGCTTCTTTAATTGATTATCAGTCCCTGCATTGTCCTGCGACGCTTGATTGAGTCGTGCTCTCCAAAAGACGCAGTAAAATTTGACTAATCTGAACCAGACTTATTAGTGCGTGGAGTTCACATGTGGCCAGCAGGCAGTCTATTATTCGAACCGCTCTCAGTTTTGGCAAAAAATAACTGCGACTCGCTGTGATCCCAACATAAAATTTGATTTTATTACCAACACCTTTTGCGCTGACGTTTTTAACTCGCAATTTGAACCGCCGTCTCTCGATCTCGACCAAATATCTCGCAAGAAAAGATTGCTCGGCAAGATAAACGCGAAGTTGAATGGGACGCTCCCAACAGGCAACGCTTGGTTTAAATTTTTATTCGCGATGTGCGAGAGGTAAGAATCAAATACGCGGCAGGTACAGACTGCAAAAATATAATTCGAACCACGCCAAAGATTTTCGGCCAGAATCTTGCGTAACATTTTTCATTCATCGTTCCGCCTTTCCTTGATTCAAAACGAGCTATTGAATTTTATTCATGGAGTAAACATGGAAAATGCACGAAATTAGATTTAAGTGTTTTTGTTATCCCACCAGCATTTGATGTAGTCAAGTATAGACAAGCCATACAAGTGAGTCTACCAGCAGAAATTTCTATCATTCTTATCTTCATTCTTACCAGTTCGTTTCTCAGGCCATACAAGCTAGGAGACGAGAAAACTTCCTGGAAATATACAAGGCAGGAAATATCCACGTATTAATTTCCAGTCAATTTCCCGAGTGCGTATCTATCCTTTGATTTTCTGGCTGAGCCAAAATGCAGCTCAGGCTATCGTGAATCGCTCACTCGCAAGACGGACGAGGACGCGTCAGAGATCGGCAGCTACTCCGATCTCTGACCCGCCCTCGTCCGTCTTGCTGCTGGTCGTGCGACGCCTTCAAAACCTTCTCTTTGTGCACGACTTGCTTGGGCAGTCATTCTTCCTTTCCGTTCATAATGCGACTCAGTAATTCACTCCCCAATCACGAGGTTCAAAAAAATTATAACCCATTCAGGTAACAGAAAATTCCTTGTACCGAGTTTTTTTCCGAAAATATTCGGGTATTTGCACGTTTAAATGCAAAAATCATTATATTGCAGATACTCAAAAATTGCGATGTTTTTTCTGTAAGGAATTAATTTTCTCATCCAAACTGGACTGATAAATTTACCAGAAAAAAAACTAATTACTTTTAGCTACCTCGAATCAAGCTCAATTCAAGTAGATTTTATCAAAGTAGACGTCAAAACTTCGTTTCGATTTCACAATTCCTCAATTCCATAACTTAAAGAATATTGTGTTCTTTTCTGCAGAAATTAAATGCTCCCATTTTTTTATTGTGTGTGGTTTGATATTTTGTTCATTATTTTGTGAAGACCTCCCGGGGTCTGCGTGCCTAATAATTTATAAACGTCGGGCAAAAATTCGGGTACGATGTTATCAGGAACAGGCGTTCTAGCAAACCTTTGGATGCTTCTTTAACCTTTTGAACCTTTTTTTATGCTTCTTTAACCTTTTGAACCCTTTAACCTTTTGAACCTAACTTATCTCTTCTACAACCGTCCTAAAATCTCTATAGTGGCTGATTAAGAATATGTAATCGATGAACTCTGTATAGTATTGGCTTCCCAGCATTTCAAATTAATCATTGACGCAATATTCCTTTATAGCAAAAAGATGTGTACCACAGTTAAGCTGCATAATCTGTAAGAATTTGAAATTATATCCTTGCAATTCCATATAAGAAAAACTGATAGAATTCAATTTTTCATCAAAACTACTAGTATTTTTCATCAAAACTATTACTACAAGCTACTATAGCATTCATTAACAGTGCTAGCATGTCATTTCCTCACGTATAGTCTTGCTTTTAGACAACGTTCGTGTCCCTCAGTTGCAGGTTTAATTTATAATGTATATTTATTATTATAATATAATATCACCTGCATCATTTCTCATTCTGAATGGTATTCATTCAATTGAATATTCCGTATAATTTTCTAAAATTTTCTTCTTAGTTTGTCTTGGTTTAAATAATTAATTCCAAGTTTTGAAACTTGTTTTTACTGAAGCCTCATACAATACATGCAGCATTTTCATCTTTAGTTTCATTCAACATTTATTTAAAAGATGCGGCAAGGCTGCCTTGTAACTTATTCGCTCAAGGCTCAGCAAGTGCAAGCTCACTCAAGTGGGTCAAGCCATAAAAAGTGCCGTTAGTGGGTATCTTTAATTCTCGTAGCCATGTTGCGTCGGGCCGTGTCAACAGAAGCTTATCTCTGGGCAACACTTCGCTACTTCTCGAGTGTCGTTCGCAGCTGCTCTGAATTAGCCGCGGGGCAGTAATATAACTGCCATCATATGCTCATACACTTGCGGTGTCTCTTTCTTAAATTAAGAAAGCTGGCAAGGAACTTGATCCCATGGGAGTTGGTACGTCACATGAGTCATGAGGTCAGAAGATTTTGTTGCTTACACAAGGGGATTATTCAGAGCATGTTTCGTCAACAAGAAAGATTTAATTCTCATTTTGTATGTCTCATCGTGAACTGTTGGCCGCATAGAAGTTCCATGTTGTTAAAACGCCATGTTCATGTTTGATAAGTGACAACTGACCGGAACTCCCTGCCTCTCCTGCCTCTTTATCTTTAGAAAATGATTTTTTTCTATTTACAATATATCATATGTGCGAGAGTGTGAAAAGTAATGTAGTTGAATCTTAGAATTAATTTTAAAAATGGATAAGTTTTATGTAAAGTTTTTTTTTTTTTTGCAGACCAAATGCCTGCGTTGTCGAAGAAGTGCCCGGCACCGGCAAAGAATTTTGGACAGAATGTCGGTATTGGCTGAACAGAAAAATCTGTGGAAGAAAAACGTAAGTTTTTTATGCTTTGCTTATACATTTCTTTCTTGTGAGTCAATTGGGAATTCGTTTTCATGTTTTTTAAATAAAGCAGCTACAATAAAAGTATTTGATAAAATACATCGATCTTGAAGGATTAATTTCCCTCGCACACGATTGGTTGTGATTTATTGCGTGAAAGACGAAGTTATATTTTTACTGATGAAACGTGATGCAAGAAGTTATATTTTTACTGATGAAACGTGATGCAAGAAGTTATATTTTTACTGATGAAACGTGATGCAAGTAGTTATATTTTTACTGATGAAACGTGATGCAAGTAGTTATATTTTTACTGATGAAACGTGATTCAAGTAGTTATATTTTTACTGATGAAACGTGATGCAAGTAGTTATATTTTTACTGATGAAACGTGATGCAAATAGTTATATTTTTACTGCACGTGATAAGATACTTCGAAGAATCTGGTCATTTCTGTTGTATATTGGCAATATGAATCAATTAATTAAATTAATACGAGTAAAAATTTAATTAGTTTTCGAAACCCGGTATAGTTTGCACATCTTTCAGGATCGTTCGCTTCGAATGCTGCGAAGGCTTCGAACAGATTGAGGGAGAGAATGGCTGTACCAGAGGTAACTACAGTAAAAAAAGTAGCTCACTGTAGTGATTTAATCTTCGAAATAAGATTTAAAAGCAAGAAATAAGCACAAATAGCGGGTAAGAAAGTTCCAGGGCTCAATATATTAATGAAACTACTCATATATATACTGTAGGTAAATTTCATATATTGTTCATAAGCCATGTCTATATGTTTCTTAAATCGTTTCAATATATTATTATCGTAGAACCTCATAAATTTAAAAGTCTCCTTTGAATCAAGCAATCAAAAATATTCGATGGCGCCTTAATTCTCACTCGCTCATTAAATGCAAATCATGGCAAAATTTGGTTGATTTAGTGGATTTTTACCATTGGGGTCACTTTCAGAATTTGATTCATTACATTCAAGGGAAAACAAGTTTGTTTTGTTGGACTGATAGTTACGATTTAAACGTTAAAGCAGTATATATAAATTATTAAATAGAATGGGATGCAAGCATTAGTGATAATTTGCCGCTAACGCGTGTCCCTCTGATGCAAGAATTTATTAATATTAATAATATAGGTGGTAATAATATTAAAACTATTTATTTTGATATTAATAATACTATTATTAGTGATTTTGATAGTAATAATAATATAACAATAATAATGCTGACACGTGCTGACAGTGAAGCCGCTGATGAACCTGCTGGAGACGGCGGAAGCACTGGGAGCGACGCGCTGGGCAGCGTACATCAGGGAGAGCGGGCTGGCCAACGAGCTGGAGACCGCGGGCGCCTACACGCTCTTCGCGCCCACTAACCAGGCCTTCGATGTCAGTACTCATTCACCAAACGCCGGACTATTTATAATTGATACGAGTTGGTTAATCCGGCAGCCAATCACGGACGGCTCTTTAAGCTAGACCCAACAATCATGGACGAGAAATCGGCCGCTGCGTGCTCTTAGGCATCTACGAGAATTCACTAGCCAGTTTTGATAGTACGGCCCAAGCATTATATGTTCTCAGTGCAGAAGTTGGAAGTTTGAAAGAGGAAATATGCATTACTTTTTCAAAATTCATAATTAAATTGAACTCATTCATATTTTTTGATAAAGTTGTTAATTTTTTATCACCTTCCTGTTCAGTCTAATCATTTTTTTAATACTTGCTGTAGCATTATCTTTTTATAGTGTTAAGTATAAATTTTCTAGTTATTTAGGTAAAAAGGAATATTAGTGAATTAAAATGCAATCTGCGTTAAAATAGTCTAAATGTACCGGTCCATATTTGTAATTTATTGACATTTATCCATGAAAACAACCAATTTCTCCGCAGAGTGTAAAAAGCTCGCTTAAAAGCCAGCTTGAATCTTACCGTGGCAATCCCAACAACCCAATCCTGCTGTACCACATCGTGCCTACCAAGCTCCCGTCCGACCACTTCGAGGCTAACACCGTCGTCGAGACTCGGGCCGATGGCAACTTCCTGAGGATCAACAAATATTCTAATGGAGTAAGTGGCTTGAAAGTATTCAAGGTATACAAATAATGGGTATAGGTGTCGAAAAGCTTTCCCATCGATTCATAGCAGGGAAGAAAATCCTTCTGATCAGTAAAACATGATAAAGGGAATAATGAAATTTCATGATTGTTATTACGTGTAACGGTAACCCACTCGATACAATGTTCGTGAACTAAAATAATCATGGAAAAGTCAATAATCTCTCGAGTCAGAAGCTGAAGACGCCTGCGTATTGTTTAGATTTGTTAATGATCCAGAGAACTTGACCGGAACACAATTTGAACTTATCAAGGATATTCAATAACAAATAGATTGCCTGTGTGATATAGAATAAAACTTTAATACAAGTCCTCGCCAATTACGAGATAGCCTTTTCAAAACTTCAGCCTTAACTTTATTTCTAAGCAATAAGGCTATGTTTTAAAAGTCTGATTTAGAATACAGAACAAAGAAACCTGTAACTTCCACATTGTTTCGTGTGTTTCTTAACAAAAGTTTTTCCATTGAAACGTAGATGCCGCAAAATGCTGTCCTTCCCCATTTTAATTCTACCAAACGACTTCTGTTTTCCAGATGAACACCATAAATTGCGCTCTGTTACTGCAAAAAGACCAGCAAGCAACAAACGGAATAGTTCATATCATAGACACAATGCTGGATCCATCCAAGTCCCTGCCCGAGAACGTCGCTGATCTTGTACTCAAGGTAGTCTAATTTCTTTTTTTTTTAATTCTGGTGTCAGAGAAAAACGTGTAATGCGTGACTAACTCTTTTAGACGTCACTTTGGGAAAATACAGCGGCAAAAAAGTCTAGGAAATTTCATAATGACCGGTAAATCATTCAGGAATTTAACATTCTAATTATGCGTTAACAAACTTCTTGTTTTCAGGACGGACGCTTCACTGTACTATCTGAGATGCTAGAGAAAAGTGGCTACATCAACGTACTGCGCACCATGCAGGGTTCCATCACCTTCCTAGCGCCCTCTGACGAAGCTTTCCAGAAACTACCGGACTCCAGACGCGATAAGATCATCAACGACCGAGAGGCTAGGCTAGGTAACATGTATATGATTCGCTTTAACATCCAACGACGAAAACCATATTAGCACATTCAACAACTTTCAATTGTTCTCTCTTTTGCTCAAACCTCATTGCAAAATCTGGTCTTCATGTAAATAAATTTCTATGTGTCTGTACAAAGCAATTTAGACTAATGAATAATTTCACTTGCTCTAGTTCGCTTTCCTTCAGGAGGTTGACGAAAATATGACCTGCAGAATCTGCCGTGCTTAATAACGGTACCTCTCTATATTTCAGCTCTGATCCAGAACCACATTATCCCACACGTTATCTGCGAGTCAGCCATAACTGGGGAGCATAAAGTGCGGACCGTTAGCAGCAACAAGCTGACTTTCAACTGCGACATTAGTGGCGCCTACGTCGAGACCTCCAAACTTAGAGGAAACTTCAACCTCGGGAAAAATGGCATCATTCACATTTTGGATGATGTGTTGCTGCCCGATAGAGGTATGCCGATACCCGTTATGAAGTAGGTTTACGAACTAGTTATGTAATAAACTAATAGATATAGCACTCCATTAGCCGATAAACTTTCTTACGCAACGTTCTTTGTTCCAGTTTTTCTTTACAGCTGGTTCCTTTAAAATAACTTTTTGAGCGAGTTACTGTCTTCGTGATAAAAAATTGTTGGATGAACTTACTATCTCCTTACGATTTATTTGTTGTAATATGTCTATACTCAGCTAAAAACCTGATTGAGCTTGCCGAGAGTCGTCAGCTTTTCACGTTCGCCGAACTGGTGCGCAATGCAGGCCTCGAAGAGACGTTGAGCCACACCGGCGACTACACCTTCTTCGTGCCCGACGAAAACGCGTGGTTCGGTACGTAGATGTGCGAACTACACCGGAGCGGTTTGAATATGATTGCAAGCTAAAACCAAAAAATAGACCCATGCATGGACACAGTAAAAATGTGATACATTTTTGGAGGTAAATTAAAAAAATTTTTCGTGATGTCGGTACTAGATATTAACTAGAATATTTACTTCCAGAGTTGGATCCAGCAGTGCTCCAGCAGGCACGGCGAGACGTCGAATACGCAGGACTGCTGCTTCGCTTCCATGGAGCCTATGGTCGTCACCTCACCAACGCCATCACTGATAATCAGGCAAGACTCGAAAAATTTAATGCTAATTTCCAGTACAAAGAAGACGATCTAACATCATTTACCAGAAAAGACAATCTAACAATAAATCTGAGTAAATCTTTCTGTCTTCATTGAACAAACAGAACAGTGAAACCGAGAACAGTCAAATTGAAAACGTTAGTAAGCAGAAATGACAATTTTGACTCAAGTTATGCGTATATTAACAATTAAACAGATTAACTCTCTTACTCTGAGAAAACATTAATAACGGTCTGCACACTGCACAGCTCTCAGCATTAACTCACATCTAATGTACGACAGTGCTAAAACAAATAGACAAATTTTTATAATTTCGACTGGAAACACTGTATGACCCCTGAAAGTGGCGTTTTATTCTCAGGCCATCATGTCTCTGGACGAAGAAAACCCCGTGAGGCTTCAGGTATGGCGCCGCGCGATGGGAGTGGAGGACGCTCGTATTACTACGCCAGACATCGAGGCGCAGAACGGAGTCATCCACATCATCAACAAGGTCATTTTCCCATCCAACCAGACGGCCATCGCAACTCTGAGATCATTGCCCGGCCGTGATACCTTCAAGTGAGTCGTAGTCGTTCGGTCAAATATCGTTAGCTAGTACAGCATAAATTTATTTGAAAAAGAATCCACGATAGTTACTTTGTCACGATATAACCCGAGACCACAGTTTTATTTTTAATGGTGCAATCGTGAGACATTGAATATGGATGGGAGAATGGGCTTGGAAGTTAAAAATATAGATGTGATTTGATTCCTGGTTAAAGTATTTTTAACGGTGTTATCAAATCTACAATAAATTAATATTTATAATTCCATTTTTTAAGCCCTTTAGCAGGAACTGTCTACTTGATCTACTGTCTAGCAGGACAAAATTTACAGCACTACTATGCCTCTATACAGTTCATGCATTTCTCAGATAGGCAGCGCCGAAATTTCTAATTGAAACTTTAAAATTTTCATTTTGTAATCACAGCCGTTACCTGGAAGTTCTTCAACGGGCCAGCTCGCTGTCACCTCCAGTGTTGACACTTCGACCCGAAGATGAAACTTTCTACACTTTCTTTGTCCCTTCTGATGCTGCCATCGCCAGAGTTGATGGGGTGAGGACACAATAGATTCGTATTAAATATAGCATTTCGTTATCTTTGAGCAGATTTCATTTCAAGGGCTCTACAACATGTAGTAATGATGCTCCTAAAACCACTTTGAAAAGAATATATTAACAGAAAGCACTGACTTGCAAATATAGCCAACTTTTCAGTGCTGAGCTAGTCAGACGTAACATATTGAAGGACAATATTAAAATTCCTAAAATATTATAAATCACAGTTTGTGACGATAGATTTCGAATTTTAAATTACTCATATATAATTCAAATGTAAGCTTGTATTGCGTGCTGCATGATAACTTTACTGCCGTTTGTTCATCTCCTAACAAGCCTTTTATGCCATTTAATTTCCGAAAGAAACAAGAATTCAATCCTTTTTGAAATCGTGGTTTATTCTTGAATGTCTAAATGATTATTCGCATATAAAATTGAAATAAATAATGAATTATTCTTATTATTGGCAGACTAGCCAAGAAAAATTGCGCAGAGGAGACGCTAGCTTTGTCACATCATTTGTGAAGAGGCACGTGGCTGTGAACATGTTCCCGCACATGTCCTTCGAACCTAACCTCATATATTCGATTGAAGCCATGGACGGACGAAATTTCAACGTTAAGAAAAACGCTGAAGGAAAGCTGACAGTGAGTAAATTAACAGAGTGATATCATCTACTAAATTAACCTAACTTATTGAAATCTCAGAAAAAAGGTCTATTCTTCTTCTGGTAAACCTTTCTGCTCAATAGTTTTTAAATGAATTAAACTTTGTCAAAGCGTGCATTGTATTTCACCTCATTTTGAAGCATTTCAAATTATATTTTGAAATCTAAATATATTTTTCTTGAAAAAACTCTAACAATTGTTTTATTCGTGGCAGGCCAATGGGGTATCGGTACGAAGTTCACATCTGAGTGCTAATGGAGTGATCCACGTCATAGAAGATGTGTTCCCCTCAAGCTCTGGAGGCTACAGCAGCAGTTCTTCGTCTTCTGAATCCTCATCCTCTGAGTCGTCAGAAAGCAATGAAGGAAGTGGCGGTTACGTCACCACATCATCGTCTTCGACCTCCTCATCTAGAGGAGGCACAACCCACTCAACTCGCACTTACCACAGAACGGTTACTTTCGCGGAAGGATTCGATGACGCAAACCCATTATCGACGTTTCCGCAAGGTAGTGAATTATCGAGTAGTGTCCGAGGAAAGCCAGAGATAGTACCTTCTCCTTCTGCCAACCTTCCGACTTACTCTGAGTCGTCCTCTACTGACGATAGAACAGTTACAACTCACGGAGTGTCCGTTGCTGGCACTGACTCAGACGTTAACACTTTCCGGTTGCATGGTAATTCACATCATCTCTCTGGAACTTCTTTTGATACTGTCTCTCATACGAATGCGCATGGTATCCGTAACGAATCTGGTTATAGTTTGCATGATCTAGAACCTGGTTTAGAGAAGTGGGAAAAAACAAGAACAACTCTGAATAGTGGAGTTAGTGGAGCATGGCATGGCAATGGAAATGACCACGACCAATATGATCCTAATGAAATTGAATACGAGGAAGAAGAAAGAAGAGAACTAGAACGTAGGCAGAGAATGGAGATAATTCGCCAAGAAGAAATTGCGCGACAAGAGAAAATTCGCTTAGAAGATGAAAGACGACGGCAAACTGCCGCTGCAGCAGAAGCTGCGAGGGTAAGACAAGAGCAAGAAGAATCTAGGAGACTCGCAGAAGAGAGAAGGCTGGAGGCGGAGAGAGCTAGACAAAGGGAACAAGAGCTACGAATTCAACGAGAAGAAAATGAACGAATTGAAAGGGAAAATAGAGAAAGAGATTTACAAGAAAGAGCCAGAATTGAAGCAATTCGTTTGCAAGAAGAATCGATGAAATTAGAAGATGAACGACGAAGAGAAGATCTCCGGCGACAGGAAGAGATCAGGCTACGAGAAGCTAGACAACGCGAGCTTCGAAGACAGGAAGAATTTGTGAGAGAACAAGAACTTAGACGCCGAGGAGGGACCAGTAGACAAACCGAAAACACTGAGCCAGGTATTTCTCGTCGGAGAGGTGACAGTCAGCCTGAAGAAGAGCCCGGACTGAACACTGTGATTCAATATGGACCTGACCCGTATCAGGAGGGTAGATTTACAGACGAATCGCGCAGGCAACAAGAAGCTCATCGTCGAGTAGAAGAAGAATACCGAAGACGCCAAGGACCTGACTCAACTTACGACCGGGAAAACTCAAGGCGGATATCTTACCGCACACGCCATCAGTGGTCCGCTGCTACAGAGGGTGATTACGGCACCAACCTTGAAATCCCTGAAACCTTGCATGAGCCTGGATTACTAACACGAAACCTTGACCGAGCTACTAACGTTCATGACGGCTTTATAACCAGTGCTCCCTTCAAAAACAGCTCTGTGTCTACTTCAATAAAAGAAACAACGCGTGTTAACACACATAACACCATAGGACCTGTGACTCCTAATGGTACTAGGTATAGCTATGTTGGACGTTCTTTTGGTGATGATATTGTAGGACACAGTAGTAATGCAATACCTTACATTGAGAGGGATGGGGGCACTCCTGGTTCTTATCACAGTTCATCTTCGCATGTACGTAGTGGGAACTTTATAGGTGGCGGCATATCCACTAATGGTCTAACTTCAACTACCACTCGTAAAAGGGTCAATGTAACGAGAACCATTTACTCATATCCAGCTACTGAAATTAACAGGACATTTTCTGGTGACTTTTTGCCTCACAAATTTCCTGGTAGAAGACAAAATAATGGTATGCAATCTACGAGTGACTATCGAAAGTTTGAGAACCAACGTGATCAACCCCAATCTGATTCCCTTTCAGCCTACGCGTTCACAGGAGGAGAGACAGAGTTTGCTGATGGGCGAGAGTTTACCGAGGCAGATTCACCGGGCGCCTCATCCATCAGCGCAAAGAATGCAAGAGCCATCCACCGTCAATGGCGCCGCAAACGACACCAAGTGCCACGAGACCAAAACGGTGCCAAAGTCTTGAAGAAAGGCCTTAAACGGCTTAAGAAAGGCAGACGAGGAATGAGAAAAGCCTTTTTGAAGAAGCAAGCTCTCCGCAGAATGCGTCAGAATATGATAGAAAAGCCGGAAGTGAACTAAATCCTTGACATTGCGATATTCAGAAGATAATCTGAAATAATTCTACTTTGCAGTGTCACATCGAGTAGTGAGTCGATATGAATTGCTCTGCTCGGTTCATCGCAATGCATCTTGAATTATACCTGACTGACCAAGGTCATTTCAGCAATCACTGCCTTTCAGTTTTGTGTTCAAGTGCCCGCTAATTACCGCTGGTTATACTCCTATGTTTAACTGTTGATTTTTTAATTGTCTTTTTTTTACTACTCAGCTCGTATAAAATTATGTTTTTTTTTCAATCAATTCAATATTGCCTTCAAGCTTTCAGGCGTAAGCCATACCCATGATCAATCGAAGAAGATGGAAAAAGTTTGCAAAAAACTTCTAAGGCACATGGTTAAGGGCGTATTTCCGAAACTTTAAATCAGTAGACTTAAGCATCACTAACGGTTTAGACATTTCCTTGAATCAATTGCGAGGTGAACGTAAAATTTTTGCCATATTTTTTCCAAAGTTGCTAACAATTTTGAAAATTTCATGCTAATTTTCTATTATTTATGAAGTTGTGAAAGAGAACACACCACGAGTCATTGTTATTTATCAACGTTTGTGTTTTTGTTACTAGATTATAACTATTCAAACGTAACTTAAATTATACGTTATTGTTCTAAAGCCACTCAATGCTTCTATTATATTACTGCTTATGTGACTAACGTGTGCCGATTTATTTTCCTAAATTCCATACGTATTATTTGAGCTTGTACAAAACTCAGCAAAAATCTCCTGATCTGTAAGAAACTTATACTAAATTTCATCTAATACGTGATGCCTCGTCATCGTTTTGTTTCAAAATTTATATCCAAATTCCATTAATAGCCATAAATATATTAACTAAAATAGCGTATAGGGGTAGTTAATAAATTTATTGCGTGGAATAGAATTTCTGGAAATCTGGAAATACTAGCATATGCTTCATTTGTTCATTGCAATAAATATAATGCACAAATTCTCCTTTTTAAATGCATTCAGTGATCCTTGAACAAAACGTCGCTTCAGTGACATAAAATGGCAGGAATAAAAATAATCATATCGTTCGCTTTATCTCAAATCCTTTTGTAAAACAGTGATTAACAAATTAGCACCATTAAAGTGCGGAGTAATACAATCTACAATTCTTTATATTTCAGCACAAAAATTTGCCCTTTTAACTGGAACCTCGAGACAAGCCTTCCTCATTGTAGAGGCGTGAGCAGGTCAAAATTACAGGTAAATACAAAAATGTTATATTACATTCCTTATAAAAACAATGCACTAAGTATACCAGAAACTGGAATGCTACTCATCAATCATTCCTCGCACCATAATCAAAAGATTGAATTCTTTTACAATGATAAGCATACAGTAGTTGAAAATTGTTTCTAACTCTTAAATATAAATATTCAAAGGAAACATCATCATTATTCACTTAGACGCCAAGCAATTACGATCAAACTTTATGGAAATAGTTTCAAGCATTCAAAATATTTCATGCTGAAAAGAGAGAATAAATTTAAAAATTCAGATTTGCTTGGACTTGTGTTCGTGTACAGCTATGCTACGCCATAGCATGGCTGCAGTTTGAAATGAAGGGAAGTAACGCTACAGCTTCGCCATATAAATGTGCAGAAAAATGGTTGTTTACAGCATTAAAAATATTCGAAGACGGATAAGAAGCATTGTGATTTGAGTTTTTTTAATTGTTATTGCCTATGACTGAAAATCAGCAGGAACTCAGGTTCTAGATCATCGGCAATTAAAAACAGACTTTTAATTAATAACTATACAGAGATGGTATTTTATACTTCAAAATTGTGCGTGTGATGGAAATTCGTCATTAAAAAGTCTCCTTCTTGACTTACAAACAAGAAATATGCATTTCATTCTTACTCTGAAAACAACTAATAATAGCCCCGGCGACTGTGGAGGTATAAATTGCACTGCACCAACACCACTCAGCTACAGCTCCCATACATCGGACGGGGCATCAGCAGCAAACAACGCGGTAAACATCGAAAGTAAGGTAATTCCTGTGTGTCTGTAATGGTTGATGTTACAGTTATATCATTCATATCTGTTTTAATGCTTTATGCGAGTGTGAAATCAGTCCTATGTGTCTTTAATGTTTACTGTGACAGTGAAATTATTCCTGAGAGTGATTAATGCTAGATATAAAAGTGGGTTAATTCAAGCGTGTCTGATATGAAATCATTCCTGAGCGTCTGTAATATTTGAAGAAAGTGGTAGGCGTCACAATACTATCTCATAATTGCACCATTGCACACAATCCGAGTTGAGCAATTTTTAGCTATTTGCATAAAAATATCAAAAGCTCCGCGGTGATTTTGGGATACAGAAAAAATATGCTTTTGAATTAAATTAAACATTTCACATTGTAAGCCTTATTTGAACCCGTCAACATAACATCTTCAACAACAAAGTCCGCAGAGGGCTCATGATCGCAAAAATTGAAACTGAAGTCAAATTTGAACGTAAATAAAGTTTACAAAAATCACCCAAAGTAGAACCAGTAGCACGGCACAAGTTGCGGGTCGTTCTTTTCTCCTTGGGTTTGAGTGCAGCCAGGCAACCCCTGCACACCCTTAGTCCCTTTGTAACCCTGCGGTCCTGGCATCCCTCCAAGAGTTTCACCCGGGAACCCTCGCTCTCCGACATCCCCTCGACACTCGCAAATCTTGTCTCCTGGAATCCCCGGGTCACCCTTGGGACCCGGAGGTCCCGGTGTGCCGGGTCGAAAAGGAAAGTTTTGAGACGACTCGATGCAGCGTCCCATCTGTCCCTCGTATCCCGGCAGACCCCTGCTGCCTTCTGCCCCTGGCTCTCCTTTGGCGCCTTTCGCTCCAACAACCAATCGAGCTGTGCATGAAGTGTGCAAGAGTCCGTTGAAAAAGTTCTTGATGTACGAGACGAAAAAAAGTTTCATTTCTTCAACACAGGAAACATCAAGAAATTTTTTATAATAACTAGCATCAAAAGCATAAATAATTACAAACTAAGAAGATTCTAATAACAATCGACTGCTCTTCTTGACACAGACTATTTGTATTATCGACTTGTTCATCCCCAAAAATGAATGAATGTCTTCAAATATAATCACACTTTATTTTATCCATTCAACGAGCAGTGTTCTTTCTTACTCAAGTATTGGCTCCTGACGGATGCCAAAGTTTGAGCGAGGTCCGCCACTTTGGCCTTCATGTGCTCGAGTGCGACGAGCTGCGACTCGAGGCGGTGAATGCGGAGCAGCAAGTTATCGATACTGAACTGACATCGCTGGGAATGTTAACAATCCTATTATTTATTGCCGTATGTTTCAAATGCTGTTGCAGAAAAAAAATGGAGCAAGAATTTTTAATGTTTGAATGCAAAATTGCTGATAAGCGATATCGGACTTGACTCTCTGAAGAGAGTGTCATCTCTTATCATCAAAATCGACTTTGTTTACTTGTTATTTCATTAGAGTAAAATTTTAAAAGTATATCCTGGGGAATGCATTTATTTTCACAGCGTTTCAGGAGGTGTCAATATTCTTATCTCGCATATATGGAACGAGCGTCAATTATATAATTATCAGTGTCTCAGTCTTGTAAATGGTTAATTGATAGCTGGGTTATTATTTTTGATACAAACTAGAAACGATTTTAGATACTATTTTCACGACCTTCCTTAACAAATTACGTTAATTCATTTCTTATATTTAATTTTAATTGTTTGATTATAACTAATGAAATTGGTTGAAATATTGATAGTTTAAATCGCAAACTCACATAGGTGGACTGGCAGACAAGTCTCTGCGCGATGAGCCCGCGCACGAGGTTAGGGTCGATGGTCAGTTGGCCAGGCCGTCGACTCTGGCAGGTACCGTCAGCGCCGTCCTGACCTGGCACGCCTCGAGGGCCCGGGATGCAGGCGCCCGGCAAACCTGTATTACAAATATATTTTTAATGAAATATTTTTTATGTTTGAATCAATATTTTTTATAAATAGCATATTATATTAATATTTATTGTTATTTTCTTGTGGCACATGAATTGAAGTTGCAGTTGACTTTTAGGAGTCACGAGCGAATGGACCGGTTGTTGTGCTAGATTTCTTGCGTGAAGTTGAAGTCTAATTTTGATTTCAAAATAATTTTGAATGTGTACAGTAAGAAGGATTTGGACCTAATTTGGAGCACAATTAATGCTTGATAGTAACACTATGACAGCCCATCAAACTTACTGCATTATTGCAAAAGGTAAAATAGCTATTGGAATTTATGCATGTTTTCACGGACAGAAATACCTGGTGGGCCAGAGCATCCCATGACCCCGGGTCGGTAGACCGGTCTCCCGGGCAGACCCGGTGGACCGGGTGGTCCCGGGGGTCCAGGAGCCACAGGACCGGATGTAGGGGGAGAGGGAGCTGGGGGACAACCAGGGGCACATGGGAAGTAAGGGGGGCAATAAGGACAAGTTGGAGGGGCTTGTCGCTTGTGAAGTTCCTTGCTGTTAAGGACCACGAGTAACGCGTCGAGAGCATCGAAGGAGTTCGTGGTATAATTTCCGTGACTTGGCCACAAAGCTTTGGTCAACTTTTGGAGGCCCAGGGAGTCGTCCAGAGCTGATCCTCCAGAGCAGGCAAATACAACAGAGCAAATGAAAACCACGTGCCGCATCCTGCACAAAAAATATTTCATTACCAAAATTTCAGATTTAATTACAAATTTACTAAACGAGTTGGTTAGGGCCAAATATATTCGTGACAAGAGCACGAAACAATTTGAGAACACCAATTCCGCCACATAAAACTCAAATTCGTAATTTAATACTAAAAAAATTAAACTTTGTGTTTCACCCGTTTTGGTAGTTTGTGATGAAAATTAGATTTAAATTTTCTCTCACGACTCTTCATTAAAGCTGATTTAAAGGAGGCTGCGAAGAAAGAATTAAATTTAGGCAATAATGCAAGGTCAAGTGAATTTGAAAATTTTTTAATGTTTCGTAATGCATCGGTACAAATTATTAAATCGCATCATGTCTCGTAAAGAAAGATCAAATTGTAAGGAATTTTCTAGCATAGAAATATCCGTGTTCATTGGTATTTAATAAATCGTATGATAGCTTTGATTTCAGATGGCATTACCTCAAACAAAGAAAGAGTCTGTTCAAGCATACTCACTTAGGAATGAAAAAGAAGCCAAATGTTAGAGGCAAAGCAAATTAAGAAGCCTTTCCACTCTCGCGAAGCACCGACTTCAGGCTTCCGTATTCTGGAAAGATTCCCTCCACCACCGAATCCAGCGCACTAGTCTCTTGCTGGGACTTGCCACGTCTCTTCACCAACTACTCTTCACCTCGCACTCTCCACATGTTAGTCAACCAACCCACTCTACTCTGCACAACCTGCACCACACTTGAATGCGGACGATCGCTCTGCTCACAGTCGTACCACTGAGAAGCTCTGTTCAGTTCAGCTCTGCCGTCGTCTTGCGTTGCTTAGTTCGGGCCTTGAAAAACAAAGGCGCTAGTGGTTATTTACCATTAGTGTTATAGTTATTATTCTATCAGTTATTTTTGTTACAATGTTTATTTACAGTTAAGAACACAACAAGCATTGAGCCCCTTTTTCAGTGATTTATGGTCGTTTTGCGTTTCAACACCTCAACCGAATCTATTTCTATTTTTTATCACTTTTTGTTAGTCGTACGTCTATTAACATTGAATGTTTTTATTTATGCTTTCACCTCTTCTTAATTATTTTAAAGTCACTTATTACAAGGATAAAGAAATTTTCTCAGCTGTAATCATTTACATAAATTCATATATAAATTATGTAAGAATTAATTATCTGACACGAAAAATTCCCGCGTGAAATGAAGGGCGTCTGGAGTATAATTAAACTTTTCAAACACTAATGAACTCATGGGAAGTTGAAACGAAGTGATCTAGGCTGACGAAACAAACGAAATAACTAGAGGGAACGCCAGGCTCGGTATAGACTATTGAGGGACAACGGCTGACTGTTCAGAGAGACGGGCGCGCTGACCGTGCCATGACAAGACGTGGTCACTTCAGGGTGTGTTTCATCGTGGCAACATACGGTTAACAAACGCAAGGGAATTGCAAGTAGTTTTGATTTCTAAATTGTAATTGTCGTCAGACTTTATGGATTACTGCTCTTCTCCATGTTTTCGATTATGTTTCGACGTCTAATCATCTCACGAAGCCTACTGACTTGAATACTAATTGCAAAAATTCGTATTAGTTGCGAACTAAATTTTAGTGAGCACTTAGTTAACTGATTGGAGAAACTGTTTTTTCTATTGTATTAAAGTGAAGGTAATAATATTGTGACATATTTCGTGCCAATCTAGACTGTGAATCGCTCATGCATTTCAAAAGACCTCGTGTATGGCCTCGTACAGCATTCATCGGACAGTGCCCGATGAATGCCACCTCTGTGCGCCGCCCTCAGTTGGTGCGCTGAGGCAGCGCAGGTCGAAGACGGCACTCCGGTGCTACGCTGTAGCTCACAAGTGAGACTTCTTCCGTGTCTTGATGTCCCGAGTTGCGCTTGTCGATGTGAATTGTTTGAAGCGAACAAGCGAGTTTGATGGAACTTGGGAAACAAGCGAGTTTGATGGACTTGGAACATCAATAACTGTTTTTTTTCCTACTCGGTTATTGACGCAGGTTTGTGAATGAAAGCAATTGGAATAAGTTGCACAGTGAATTCAACAGCTTTTCTGCAAAAACAAACATAAAAAATGTTAAATTTTTTATTTTTTCCAGCACTTTTTGCAATACATCAGCCGTTGTGGATAGACTTTTTGTGATTTGTTCGAACGCTGCCTTTTTATAGAATATCATTATGTTATTTCATTCATAATATGCTTGCCATGAATTTCAGTCATTCATTATGACTTCATCAACGTAATGCAGCAATTTTTTTGCAGGAATATGACTCGTCTCAGCATGTCCTTCTTAGTAGGATCTTCACTGCTCCTGATGTCTGCAGGGTTAGCGGTTTCATTAAACCATGAAAACTACACAAAATTTCCTGCTGGAGTTTTAGTTTCATCGATCAAGAAGCGTGAAGTTGAGCTGACCGAGCCTTGCTCGATCCCAGCCGATGCTGACCCCAGTGACTCGTACCCCGACTACCCAGAGTGTCGCGACGGCAGCTGTCCGCCGTGCAGACCTCGCGGTCAGTCCAAACCCCAAGGGCGAGCCAAGACTCGCGTGCAGCCTCAGCCTCCTCCTCGGCGACCTCAAGTCCAGCCTCAACCTTCACGAGCTAACCCTGCAGGAGCCACGCGGCCTAATCTCAGGTAGGTAAACTAATTTATTTTTTAATACAATCAAAAGACATACTATGGGAGTTTTTATATAAAGATTCTCAAACTTGTCGCTTTGGAATTAAATAATATAGTTTTTAAAGTTTGAAGCAAAACAGTTGTTTGGTCGTAACTGCAATGTTTATATTAATACAACAACAATTTTTTTCCTGTTGTAATTTTTTGATAAATAAAAATGCATTTTAACTCGTCTACAAGCATTAATGTCACTCGATTGCCTGAATCGAATTTTCTCTAAAAATTTAGAGCAAAGAAAATGCCACAAAAATTCATGTAATCTCTTCAGAAAATATTTTTAGATACATGATGAATTTTTGTAGAATTTTCATTGCCTTTAAATTTCTGGTATTCCAACTCTAAATAGTTGCGATAAAAAATTCACCAATTCTCATTAGTTAATTTTTGTAGAATTTTCATTGCCATTAAATTTCTGGTATTCCAACTCCAAAAAGTTGCAACTTACAAACATCCATTATATAAAAGAAGCAACATTCATTTCATAGCAAGTGATTTGCACTCTAAACATGGAATTATAATTTGTTTGTTTGGTTTCCAGATGCCTCGTCCATCCCCAACCCGACCCCGTCCCAGAGTGCCTCCGCGCTCCGCTGCCGCCCCCCATCCTGCCTCCCTCCATTTGCCCCACGCGTCCTGGCACAAACCAACCTATTGACCAGAACTTAATTCTTGATATCATTCGAAAGCAAGAACAATGTCAGGTAAAATAATACTCTTATATTTCAAAATTATGCCAAAAAAACTATTCATTTATGATTTGGAAAAAGGAATCTCCCATTAAAGTACTGGCACAAACTAACCTATTCATCAGGACCTAATTCTCGACATCATATTCAAGGACAATGTTAGGTAAAAGGTACTGTTGCATTTTATAATTGTGCCAAATGAACAGAATCATTTGTGATATCGATAAGAGAATCTCCTATTAAATTTATCATTCCGATAATATTAGAATCATTAGTGTTGTTAATTCAGCACTCAAATAAATTCTAACATTTAGATCATGCTCTGTTGTCACTATAGCTGTCATAGCCTGAATACCACGAATTATTTATCTGCTTATAAAATCGTTGCATCATGAATAAAATGTTTGTAGGCAGTTCAGATCAATGCATAATGTCCCGAACTTTTATCATGCATTAAAACTATGACGGTTTAACCACGTTGGACTGTTTCTCTCAGTGCATGTAAATGAATAGACACTTTTTAACCTGAGTCATGGGTGAAACCAATGACTCATTGAGACAACCTTCAAATCCAAAAATTATTTTTTGATGGAGTTTTGCACCGTTCTTTATGAATAAAATATCACCAATTTTGTGACAACCCGTATATGCAAACAGAAAAATGAGTGAGGCTTTTCCAAATAACGTTGCATTTATTATGCTTATGCTTTTAATTTTGGGTCATCGTGACCCAGTTTGGACCCACAAAAAGGCATATCAGGGCAACGTGCGTTTTCGGTTCGCACTGCGGGTACATAAAAGGGTCACTATTTGGACATTTAGACCCATTAATTTTCCTGGTACCATCAGGCAGGAGGCGCGCAGTGCAGCGATAGCGTCCAAGAGCTGCTGCTGCGGCTGGCGCTGCTGGAGGAGCGTCTCAGGACCGTCGACGAGGCCGAGACCAAACTCGAGATTCACACGAGATTGCTGGCGCAGATGTCCAACAGGCTTGACGGTCCGTCTGGCCCTATATTGTTTATTGGTATAATTACCAATTGACTAGAATAATAGGAGGATTTCTTAGATACTGCGTTCTGATTCGCACTTCATTTTGATTGTTAATAAATTGCGAGATGAGGTTTATTAATATTAGGGAATGCTCCTTGATTATAAGAAAAATTACATGATCCGACATTAATGGCTCTATGCCGGCCCTATGAATTGAATCATTCACGATTCAGGGAAGCGTTACATTATTTCAAGCCATAGGAAATCTGTTACACTGCGGGCACTGAACACACTCCATGTGCGGACTCCTTTTGCGTTACTTGCATATCAGAAATGCGAAAGTGTTGCAACCTTTAGGTGATTCTTTGGCCGGATTTCATAAAGCCATAATTTAGACAGCAGAATTTTCTGAACTTTTTTTACATGCACCTTGTTCGGCGTACTTCTTACTCTGGCAAGTTAAAAACAACACCGTGTATCTTATTAATGAAAATGTGCTTCACATATTTTATGACGCTAAGCATTTTCCCGCTTTTTGATAAGCATGAATTTTTGACAGGCGGGCAATTCGGGAATCCAGGACCTCCAGGACCCGATGGGCCGCAGGGCCTGCGAGGAGGCCGAGGCGAAAGAGGGCTACCGGGCCGGTGCACTAACATCGGCAACGTAAACTTGGTTCGAGGCCCACAAGGATACCCTGGGCCACCGGGTGACCCTGGCCCCCGTGGGGACAAAGTTTGCAATTGCAACGGTGAAAAAGGGAGTCCTGGCTTCCCCGGCTACACCTACACAGGGAGTGAAGGACCTAGAGGTCCTAAAGGGGCCAAAGGAGCTCAAGGGAGATCATCTGTGCCTCCAGCGTCCTCCGTAGAACTAAGTCTTGTATGAGCTCGCTTGCTAGCCAACACTTGTCTTATGCGCGTATATCATGTCTGCTTAAATTGCAAGTTCACCAAGAATTTAACAATGGTATTTTACTTGCAAGAAGATATTCTGAGCAAATAAAATTCCAGCAGAATTCATCTTATCTATATCGAAAAATAAAATCAATAAAATTTTACTTTGCGTTCTCAATTCTGTTAAATTCGCGGTGAACATGCGATTCAATCAGACTTATGATAAATTCCATCACAACGTAATACAATAAATTGAACTATGAGTTCACGCCCAAAAAATTAACTGGGTATACACGTTTGCGAATATTTCATCGGGATCGATTACATATAAATTTTTGGCCACAATTACCTGAGTGACGACAACAGAATAAATGATTTGACTAATCGACTATTGATAGGAGTTATTGAACATGCTGTCTCTTCAGAACATGCTGTTTCTCTTGAAGCAATTTTATGAATAATATTTTTTGGAACTATTGCTTAAATCTAAATGTAGAGTCGGATTATCAGGCAAATTTTCAAATGAAATCCATAAATAAGACGAGCGTTATGAATTCTTTATGAAATGTAAAAATTCTTATTATTTTTGGACTCTGTTACATACGATGTAGACGATAAAAATGTCCCTCCTAGTTTTACTCTCTGGCTATTACCTAACTTCAACAACTGAATAACTTTCCGCTTTTGGCAACGGTCGTATTGCAAAATTTCTAGAGTATCATTGTCTTGATGAATTAGATTAAAAGATGATTCTTAGCGACGCTGCCACAAAAACATTTCGATGCTAATTATTAACTCAACAAAATAAGGGTTTTGTCGAATAAAAATAACTGAAAATTGTGTATGTACACAGAGGCTAGATTCAATATTAAGAAAAAGCATTGACGACTTATTCCTTTCATAACCTTTGATAGCGGTTTAGACACGACCTGCAGGCCGTCCCTGAGCTGCAGGTCGTCCCTGAGCTGCAGGTACCTCCCCCAGCACCCACTGCAGCACACCTCCCCCAGCACCCACTGCAGCATACCTCCCCCAGCACCCACTGCAGACATTATAAAGTTGCATGAAAAATTTAGGCTTCAATTCGTCCCGTCTCTACGAGTGCGAAATATACCTATCAAATATTCTCCCTAAACTCAATCAAACTTTTTTGTAACCCCTTTATGATGAATTTAAACCTTTTAATGCGAAATGCTGATTTATTGCCACTATTTTGGTCATTTTTGACACTTTTAGAATAACAACTGAAACAAATTCTGAAGATATCAACGATGATTAGCTTTTGGTTGAATGCGTAAGTCATGCACTATTTTTCATGCCACGGCGAAACGTAAATTATATGTTTTTGGCAAGCTCAACATTTCGAATTCGAAAGGAATATGATTAAATGTCTAATAATAATTCTAAATACATATGTATAAATAAAATGCGATACGTCCCGCTTAATGAATTTTAATTCGGTTGGTGAAAGTTGAAGCTTATACAATATACAGGAAATGTTCTATTGAAGGTTATGCAAAATTGAAATCATTCCATCTTAGCTTTCATTAACTGTTTTGACATATAAGTACGTTAAAGAATGTCCAATGGCAAGTTTAAGCCCTTACTAAGACATATTGAAATTGCTCCAGAATCTCTCATCCATCCCCCGCAGAGCTGTGCGCAGCTCTTGCATTTTGGTGCAGTTGAAAACTTTTTGCCTCCTTAAAGGACCGAAATGCACGCAAGTTTTCTCAATCCTCGTCAGTGATTGGTTAATTTCAGAACATCGTCGTAGCTGCATAGGCTCGTCTGAAGGCCCCGATTGGTTGACTTGTGATGACGTCACTGCAGCCTCGTTTCAACCAGAGAGCTGAAAAAGAATAGTTTTATTACAACCAGAACCTAATTGATTGAATGAGTACTGCATTGAGTTCATGAAAATTGTATTACTCTTTGAAAATATTTGCGCAACAAGCCAGGAGAAAAATGAAGGTAAGTCTTCAAAAAAATTGATTTTCATTGGGTGATGAATTGTTGCTTTCGGTGCACGAAAATCTTTTTGTTTCGATCTTTGAAAAAATTATAACAGTTTTTTAAGAATAAATTTTGATTATTTGCAGATGCACGAACATGTATCAACTTCAAAACTCTGGATAAATGCAAGCAAATATTGAAAGAAAAGATCTTGAATGATAGGCGCAATGCTACATTGGTTACGTAAAAATCTAAATGCATTTAAAAGGGGGGGATGGAATTCTTGCAAGTTTTCTAAGGTTAGATTTTGATTAGTTAACAAAATGCTGTTTTGGGGCCTAGGATTCATGAAAATCACTTAGCTCCTGGCCTCAAGAGAAAATCATGCAAGTTTTCATAAACAAAATTTTCATAGGTCTAGGAAATGATTCGGAAGTTTCGTTTTAATAATTTTGTTTCAACGCACGAGCTATAAAGGCAGGCTCGTTTTCGTATACTAGCATTTACTTGTCAAAGAATTGCTGCAGTGGATTCACGAGAATCTTGCTGCATTTCGCTTGCGGAGAATGTAATATGCATAGTGAAAAAATAGATAAAATAGTTTTGAAGTGTTTCCTTTATATTTCTATACCAGCAATAAATTTCTATTACTTTGAAAATTTCAAATTTACATCGATTTTTACCATCCAACTTTATATATAGGGTGCTTCAAAGTGTTGATTGTCTTATTGACATTGGACGAACATATTGATAGATATCAGTATAAGTGGTAATTTTCTTCACCCCCATATGATGACAAGATACGAGCGCGAGTGTTGTCTGTACAATTATATCAAAATAAATAAATAAATTAAATTAGTTATAAAAATACTGAAACGCACAATTTTCAGTATTCTCTTAAAAAATCTATAGGAACGCTGTAACAATCCTTGGCCTATCCTCCTGCAGCCATGCAAGTCAAGCCTTACCTTCTCACGTATGTCAACCCTTTCTTTGACATGGCTGCACGTATATAGGCTGATTTGCTCGACTCAGTGCACTGTTGCCGCCACTGATGATCTTGAACAATAATGATGAATTTTAGTTCTTGAAGTTATTCTTAATTATTCTACAGTCATATTCTGCTGTTATCAGTTTTTCCCTCTTAAGTTCGAACTGATTCGTTGCTCAATTTCCTCACAGTTCCAAGCCGAGGCTTTGGCTTAGCTTTTGCTGATCTTTCATGGTAAAAAATATATATTTCAGAATTATTATCGCTGAAATGTTCGCTAGCATTTATTTTTGATGTTTCATATTATTTTAAAAGAAAATCAATTGTAATTTCACTAAGTCGGATAATATACCCTTGGTCAGCGAATTGAAATTAGCTTTAAAGCTTATGTACTCAATTCCGATTTTGAAATATTTATTTACAGTATATTTTTGGTTATTTAGCCTTCATTTATTTACAATAATTCAGATTTTATGCAAGTTTCGGGTGCAAAATTCGAAATACAAACTTTGAGTTATCAAATAGTATGCGCTTGCATCAATCTCCACCACGGACGATTGCTAGCTCTGACATGTATAATACGTTTCCTTTCAGTAAAAGCAATTGTATTTGCAATCGTTCGGTATTATTAATTCTTTATGTAGGAGAGCTCGTCAGCAAACTATCCAGCCTAGCCTGGAACTGCATCTTCCCGCTTGTCCGCGTTGAACTAACTGCATCTTTAAATCCTTTTGCCTCCTTCTATCCAAGAAATGCACTCAACTTTCGTGCAAAGCACCGCTTCATTGTCTAATGTGAATACCATTCAGCTTCATTCTGGAAACTTTTTGCTTCCACATATTCGATGAATGCAGCTAAAAGTTACACTCGTCAACAGTCCTCATTGGTTGATAGCAACGCCATGCAGCTGCATCCAGAAAACTTCTTGCCTCTTCAAATGCAATAAATGCAGCCAAGTTCCACACGAAAACACTCCTCATTGGTTGATAGTAACGCCGTTCAGCTGCATCCAGAAAACTTCTTGCCTCTTCAAATGCAATAAATGCAGCCAAGTTCCACACGAAAACACTCCTCATTGGTTGATAGCAACGCCGTGCATCTGCATCCAGAAATCTTCTTGCCTCTTCAAATGCAATAAATGCAGCCAAGTTCCACACGAAAACACTCCTCATTGGTTGATAGCAACGCCGTGCAGCTGCATCCTGAAAACTTCTTGCCTCTTCAAATGCAATAAATGCAGCCAAGTTCCACACGAAATCACTCCTCATTGGTTGATATTTCTTATTTTCCTCCTCAATGCGGGAGATACCATTTATGCAACATTTATTGTAAAGGTAACAAACTCGGCTTCTGATTTGGTCCTGCCATGTAGGAGCTTGCGATCGTCGTTGGTGATTGGCTGTTATGTGTGACGTCACGTTTACGAAACGGTGGTCTCGGTAGGCGACGTAACCTGAAAATTTTTTCTGATTGTGTCTAGTAGACTCATGGTTTACATTTCGATTAATTAAATTAATTTTTCGGCTTTATTAAACATTGTGCTATAGCATCAGGAGCCGGAAGTGCTCTCTCTCACTCTAGTTACTGTAAAGCATGACATAATAAATGGGATTAAGAACGACGAGAATGAAATCATCAATGAGCGAATATTCTACGCGCATAATATAATATAAAATAATGCAATGTTATTTAGTAAATAATATTTAACCATGAAAAGTACGCATGAAGAACGTTGGAAACCTGACACAACTTTTTAATAATATTATTTTCTTTCAGCTATCAACTCCTAAACCTTCCCTTCCTCGCGCAAACTGCAACGAGAGCTGCAGCCCTTCAAGTCATGAAAAAACGCCCTCGGTATTGCAATTTTTCTTCCGACTAAAAAGATGAACCTGAGCAACTGTTGCAGCGCATTATGTTTTTTACTTCACATTTTTTGTGCCAATGCAAGATTTTGACCGCCGAAGATCCTCCGGAAGGCAGCTCACTGATGCAGGCATCGTGTATCAAAAAAAATCTGGTGCAGACCTGGGTTTTTTATCGTCCCTTCTGACCTTTTTCAGGTAGGCAGCTAGAATATTTACATTGTATGTTGGATATTTTTTATGAACAATTATTGTGACGGGCTCAATGCATTTACATAAAAAGACTGACATGTTTAGATTCAGGTAGAATGCAGTTCCTTAGAGAAGGATTTTTCATTTACAATAAAAGAAATTGGAGAATACCTCCTCAACAGGAATGTTTATCATACAGGATAGTCCAGGCAGCCCTACATCTTATTTATAGCTTATTTAATAAATCAATAATTTGTATATGGTTCGAAGTCAAACCTGTTGGATTGAAATACTTCACAGCAAGTCAACAGTCAACCTCGATCAAAACGCGTTTGAAAAATATAATTCCTAAATAAAAAATCGTCTTTCTTGTTTATTAATGTTGGGTGAGAGGTTAAAATATAAAATGAAAAAGTGAAAAAATGGAAGAAAATTGTCTCGTGCAGTAAGAAATCACTTTATTAGGTAAGAGGTAAGTTACAACTATTCATTTTTTTTAACTCAGATGCAACATATTTTAAAGGAAACTAGAATACATTTTTCAATAACAACCCGTTTCCTATTAATCGTGACTCCAATGTAGAAATTAAAATTCATGTTCCAATATCCCAATTCACATAAACCAGGTAAGAATGTGATGATTATTTCTTCATATGTCATATTCCCTTATTACAATTAGTAATCTTCAACCGTAGGATTTGAACGCGCAAAATTAATTTTTTATCTCTTCAAATTACTACCATCTAACATAGATTTACTAAACAACATGATACAATGAAGTTTATTTGAGAAAAAGAATTGCGCATACCAAAGAATATTCTCTTTGACTATGAAAAGTTTATCACTGACACTCAACATAATATTTTACTCTGAATAACCTACAA